CGCGTCATCTNACGCATCATACCTCTCAATTTCGTCGCAATCCTCGTTCTCCGACTCTTCCATATCCTCCGCGTCCTCGCTCTCCTCCGTCTGCGCCCTGTCCTCGTACGCCAGGAAAGACTCGCCCGACTCGGAGCCGCACGTAGATTACCTCCGTCTCCTCCAGCGGGCGATCAAAAGCGCGACGGGCCGATGTTCATGAAAGTCATGAGCGCAATCAACGCGCTCCTGTCCCTGCTCAAGTATCCCCCGCTCCCGCTGGACCCGTTTGACGCGCCCGCTGCCAACCACCTCGGTGTAACGGTGCGGGGGTGGCAGCGCATACCCACAAACGTGGTGCACCGCATCGCTGACGAGACGTACCAGCGTGCCGTCGGGCCGCACATCGACGTCCTGAAGCGGTACGAGGCGTTCTCGTCCGAAGTGTACGGCGAGCTCATGCCGACGTTCGTTTCGGACGTCATCCGTGCGACGGGCCTGCATGGGGGTTCTCTATTTCTCGACATGGGGTCGGGCGTAGGGAATGTGGTGATGCAGGCGAGTCTAGAGACGGGGTGCCGGAGCTACGGGATCGAAATTATGCCCGGTCCTGCGCAGATCGCGCGGAGCCAACTGGAGCAGTTCAAGACGAGATGTCGGATGTGGGGGGTGAGGATGGGCGAGGTCGAGCTGGAGGAGGGGGACATGTTGAAGAGTGCGAAGGTGGACGAGCTGGTGAAGAGTGCGGACGTAGTACTGGTGAATAACAAGGTCTTCCTGGAGCCGCGTGAGTGTCTACCCTTTCTGACTGCGTGTTCGACGTATGGTGCTAATGCTTGATGTTGGAAGTCAATGAGGCACTGAGGCAGAAGTTCCTGGACTTGAAGGAGGGTGCGATCGTCGTCTCTCTCAAGTGCCTGATGGGCTCTGGAAGGTCCGCCGCGCGAGAACGGAGCGCCTCGCCAGCACTCAAAGAACGCAACGTATGTGATCTCATTCAATACAAACATGCTTCGTCCAACGTTAACTCCTGGGCCCAGCTGGACGACATTAGTGAGATCTTCACCGTCACCGCGCGGCCGTATTACCCCGGCAGCGTTTCGTGGGGCGGCGCTGGAGGAGAGTACTTCCTGCAGCGGATGAACCGCGAAGACTATGCGCGGAGGAAGATGCTGTTTGAGAGCTCGCGGGCGGGCTCTGGGAGGGTCACGCGATCGCGAAGGTGACAAGTCCTTCGCCTTGCCTTTGACTTGGGGACTCCGATATTCTGTCGCTATCTGAGGGACTCTGGACATGAACGTCACGCATCTGGACGCGCTCGGTACAGGTGAACATATCTTGGGACAACGCCTTTGTGTTGCTCAGGTTCTGCTGCTTGATCTTCGTCCTCAGCCGTGACTTTGTGCAAGCATCCGTCCGTTGACATTGTCTGCCCCCAGTGCTTCCCCTCCCCCTTATTGTAGTCTGTCAACACTAGTAGTTAGAACCTTGACTTTACACCCCGTCAGTCGCATCGTACATCTCTGCTCGTTCACATCCATATTGCTATCGCGTTCTCGGCTTAATGCTCAATGTTCAACGATATTCACGCGGGTATCTTACAGTACGCGAATCTGCTTAATGTATCCGTACCGCCGAAGGAAGACTGTACGTGTATCCCCTAGTCATTACTCTGGCTTCGTGACCATCTCGCCACATACCAAAGGTGTGATACGCGAGAAAGCGAGGCTTTCGATGAACAGGTCGATCGCGGTAACGATAAGTATTCAAGAGTACGGTATGCGACTACTACCTAACTTCTATAGATTCTGACACGTTCAACCCGCTCTCCTCATCCGCCTCACCCACGCAGAGAACTCGCTTTCCGCCTCGGGGGTGTAGTTGAGACTATCAGCTCGTGTACCTTGCCAGGAGGACTGGCGCACGTGGATTTGGGAGGACGCCGCGGCCTGAAATAACCATCCATCTCCAAAGCCAGGAGAGGAGAACCTCTGCCCGAGGACGAGAAGCAAACCCTCGATGCGCTCCAACCGCTCGTCTAGAGATGTCATCCTCCCAGACAGCCGTTGCAGTCGATCGTCCATAACCATGGAGAGAGCATGCAGCCGCTCGTCCATCCTGTTCCGAAGTTGCTCCTGTTCAACCGCAATCCTCTCGTCCACTGTAGCGAATCCACCCTGCATCTTGTAGTCCATTTCTTTGATATTCTCCTCTAGCGTCTCAATACGGGCGTTGAGCTTAGCTGCGTGTTCAGATTCTGCGTCCACGGGTGCGGCTGCCATTTGGCACCGGACGAGCGCATGGGTCTTCTGGTGCTTTCCGGCCTTGATGCCACCGTGCCTGTAGTCGCACGAGTAGCAGACGAAGATACGTTCTACACTATGTTTGTCAGAATTTTGAACGGAGTGAAGTTCCTGAAGGGCGTACCTTCACATTCAATACAATACCAGCACGGCATCGAGGCGCGCTCACCACACTTCACGCATTGCGGTGACCCGTTCTCGACGCTAGCCCCAGCCTGCTGCGCAGAAGTGGCAGCGAAGACCTGACGTGCTGTCTTCAGGGCGGACTGTGCGGCGCGGTACATCTCTCCGAACTCGCGGAAAGGATGGATCGCCCTTCTCATCTTGAACATTTCGTGCGAAGGAAGATGAGGTGAGGTGAGGTCATCACGAGCATCTAGCCCGATCTCTGAGGCGAGGCAGCTCTCCTTGTCGCACAGGTCGATTGTAGTCTTCATCCCGCAGCAGAGACATGTAACGCGGCTGCCTCTGATGTTATCTCCGCATGCTGCACAGTGTATCAAGCTGTGGTCAGATAATCATCAGCAGACGGTTCACATCGCGACACCACAGAAGGGAAGACATACGTGTGCATTGGAATCGCTCTCTCGCGCAGGTCTCTAAATATTTGGTACAAGCCAGCCTCCTCCGGTGTCATGATGCGATGGCATCTGGCGAGGTCGGCGGTTTCCTCTGAGGTGAGTTGGTAGAACTCCCGGCGAACGGTGAGCTCAACGTAGCGCTTTCCCCTCTGCCAGCGTTCCTGGAGCCAATTCCATGAACCCATGTCACGCTGTACCTGCGCGTGAATGGCGGAAGTCGCGAAGTGCCACAGCGCTCGAGCCTTATTGCTCGCAAGCTCCGCAGGAGAGGGATAGAAGCGCATCAGCTCGGAAGGAAGACGCTTGAAGTAGAACACGAATGGCTTGTCATCGAAACCCCAGGTACCGGACAGCGTCGACCCGTGTTCGTCGAGCCGACCGGAGAAGTGCTGGGTGGCAAAACGGGCGACGTATCGGACGCTGAAGTTGTACTGCACTACCCCTCCCTCCATAATGGTGTAGTCTCCTGTGAGGCTCCAGTCCGTACCATTAGGCGCAATTCCATTGCATTGGAACTGCTTCGGGTTGTTAGGGCAAACGTGTAGATCGAGAGAGAACATCGCTTGCGAAGGATACAGATCATCCTTTGCGCAGAAGCCAGACCAATGACCCAATCTGCGAAGGAAAATAGTTGTAGCGCTGACCAAATGTGGACAATATTTGCTTGAACAGAGCCACTCACATCCTGTGGATGATCGAACCTGCTCGCCTGTCTGCCTCCGTCATCACAGATTCGTGTGTACTGAGGAGCTCTTCAACGCTTCTTAGAGGGTAATTGATGACGCTCGCGGGCTGAACACCTTGAGCCTCCAGACTGTCGTCGTAAGGGACTTCGAGGAACTTGGCTTCTTTGAGCCGTTTCATCGACCAGATCTCTGTCTCGTCATGCCAATACTTGAACTTCACCCCAATGATGAGATGTAGCTAGTGAAGGTGGATACAGAAATGAGCAACAGACCATCTCAAAAGCGAAGATCTTGAATTGCTGAGCAGGGTCTAGCTTCTGTTGCTTGAACAGATCTAGAACATTGTCAATGCGGCTTCACAAATGCTTGTTGCGCCGTAGACGTACCTGCAAGGCTATCATGACGTTCGTTGACAGCCTCCATTACCCACATGACTGTGGACATCGAGTCGAACAGCTCATCCACATGGAGACACTGCGTGCGTGCAAGTCGCATTATCTCAAAATCGCGCTTCAGGAGCAAGTAAAGCAAAGGAAACAAATGCTGATGAGAGGAGTCAATAACATAGTCGTTGTGATCAACAGCAATGCCGTACCTTTTCGACTCGACCAGGGCCGCGTATCAGCTCGAGGGTGTCTCGCGCATCGATGTCGTACTTGACTGTCTCCAAGTTTCGTAGCAGACGATCTTCTTCTGACTCGGTATAGTCCTCGAATTTGCGCAAGAGCGCCTCATCCACTTCCACACGGCGAAACGCCGCGGTGAGGGTGGAGATGCGAGTCCATACGGTCCCTAGATACTGTTCTATAGCGTTCCGGTTCGTGGGCAGAGCGTATCGCTTGAGGGAGAACATCTTAGCCAGTAAGACGTCAATCTTCGCTGCGTAGTCGCTCATCGACGTCTGGAAGCCTGATCATAATGGTCAGGAGAATGCGTACAGCCCAATGCTTGTTCATCTTACCGACAGCCCAATAAGCGAGCCAATGTAGGAGACTAGGCAACAGCCGTGAGCGACGTTGACGAGACATCAGGAAGAGGAATTCACCTCCAATTCTTGGGGCGAGCCGTCGTGAATGCATTAACCTCTTGAACAGTGATGAAGCCAGAGCCGTCATCATCGAAGGCCTCGATGATGGGCTGGACTCGGGTGATGTGGATGTATTCCATGCTCCATTCGTCCTCTTCGCTCAGTCGATGGCTTGGCACGGAGGGCGTCTCACTGTCATTCGTCTTCTTGAGCTGATCAAGCTTCTCACGGAAGTATTCGCGGAGCGCAAGCACGAAGTGTCGGTCCTTAACGCTTCCACGCCAACGCTACGATGATTCAATCCATTTCACTACTTTGCCAAAAAACAATTCCCATGCAGAACGTACCATTTCTTTCCACATCTCGTGGATGTCCTAGAAGTTGGAATAGAGGTTAGCCTCAGTATAGCTGCGATGCTTGCTGCGCAGGAGAGTGACTCACTGGATCAATGATTTTGTCATGAGGTCCAGCGTTGACCGCGTCGATGATGCGGTCACCTTCGCGATGCATTGCCCGCCGCATTTGCTCCTCGAGCTCTCGTTGCTGTACCAGGAACTTCGCCTGGAACTGCTCCATGTTTTGGTGGATCGACGTCTGGACATCGGTTTGAAGATCAGTCTGAAGGGCCTTGAACTCATCCACAACGCCTTTCGTGCGAGCTTTGCGATCAGAACCGGATGGTCCTGTTCGGTACTCGGACACCTCCTTGAGGAGCTTCTCGTCCTGCATGACTGCTTGTGGACCGCCTCGTAGGTCCACTTGCCTCGCAAGCTCTCGCTCCTCTGGGGATGTGCACGCGTCGAGATAACGAAGGACACGGTCCATTCTGGTATACGAGTAATCAGCACAGACCTCCACAGAAGAACAAATGCGCACTTCTCCTCCATGCTCACGAGCTTGTCGGTCACATTGTTCACCGCGCGCCCGATGTAGATTGACAGCGCAAATTCAAACTCGCCACGCCGAGTCGTGAATCCTTGTATGTATCCCTTGAACTCGCCATCCCAGGCCGAGCTGTGTACGACCTTTGACAGAATATTCTTCTTGGCATATGCGTTGCATGCGTTAGCGCACTTCCTGATGTCCTGCTCGGTTTTCTCGACAAGGTGCTGCATACGACCAGAAATAGTCGTGTTATCGTCTCCCGCACGCTTGTCTCTGTTGACATCTTTGAGCCTGAATAATGGTACAAATCAATATTGGTATCGACAGCGGATGGACCCATTGACGTACTGCACAAGCACAGCCATCATGTCCCTCATTTCCACGAAAAGCAGCGAGATCTTTTTGTCATTGTCCCTCCGTTTGAGATCAAGCTCGACTGCAACTCGGAATGCGCCGACGGCAACTGTTCAGAGTTCCACGCTCAGCATCACATATACTGAACGGATGTCCGAAACACTTCGCGAGGCATCTTACTTGCAATGAAGGGATGACTCTTGGCGACAATATCCAGTACCTTGAGCAATGCCGGTATGCCGTCCACAATCGTGGAGATGGTGTGCCGTATCGCCTTCCCAGGCTCTGTTGACGTCACCAGCTGCAAGGGAGACGTGAGACCCTGTACGGCAGTGACATCTGCTTCAACCATGCCGACTGCATTGCCTAAGAGTAGCCCAAGTAAGCATGCGCGAACGGCATGATATGTATTGCGGGGACTAACCGGCGAGGTTTAGATACTTGATCGCGCGACGACCTGCATACTTCTGGAAGCTGGCTTCGGCGGCATCAACCTGTCCGATTATCGTCTCGACCACGGTGATATTGGGATAGCTGACTTGAGGCGGCCTTGGGAGCTCTCGCTGAGGCTGGTATACAACATGACTGGAAATTTATACCTCGGGCGGTTTGAACTTACAGATGGTACGGGAGGGTGTACAAGAGCTGGAGGCTGCTTATGTGGTAAAGGCGCGTCTGCCTTGTCGCGCTTGGGACACCATACACAAATGTCAGCAAGGTATTGGGGAAGGAATGTGAGAGCACACTGACTGAATGTGAGTGTGCCATAGCGTGCGAGGGCGTAGAAGTGGGAGCAAGGCCTGCTCCGATGATCAGATGTTATACGTGCGCGAATACCCATACAAACGCTAGTCTGGAGTTCTTCCAATGATCTGAATCCTAAGGGCGACCAAACACCACGACGGCCCTACAAAAATATGCGACTTGAACAACCTAGTATCGCAGACAGACCGATGCGAACTAACTGATTGTGGGAGACGATGCTCCACCGGCGGACTCATCTGTCAGCTGGGGCATTGACTGTTAATTGCATCCACTACTCAGAAGCTCTGCAACAGACGAGCCTGAGACCATGGGTGTATAGAAGCGTCTGTGGGCGATCCCACTGTAGGGGTTTCCATCGCTCTGACGTGACATATCAAACTACGAGCGGTACTTTGACAATCTCGTGAAAAGCTTCGTGATAGAGCGTGGGAGATGTAGACGTTAGTAGTGCTTGCCTCAAAATAGACTACTACGAACACTGACCTGTGTGCTTTCTGAAGGGTGACCGGCGCTTTCTCGAAGATGTTGTATGTTACGTGGCAGTGAATTCTTGGAACCGCCTCTGGACCTTGCAAGGCACCTCGCTGATTCGCATCACGATGGCACTTCTGCGAAAACGAAAAATGCGGAACAATTGCTCAAGATCATTCGTACTCGCGAGGACAAGACACCGCTTTGGACCTCGTGCTGTTCACAGGGTCACCAAATATTTGCGTACTAAAGGCGTCTAATCCTTGAGCGGGTGCCTTCTACTGCGTGCCCGTACGGCGGCCGTCTGGCCCATGTGAGCCGCCATCTGCTCCAGCAAACCTTGTTATAACTTCCGCGAAACTGGACAACAGCGACGCCTGCATCGCTTCCTGCTTGTTCTCCAACTTCAGTAACTGGTTTTGTAGCTGTTCTATCCGCTCCTCTAGTTTGGCGAGACGACGATCCGCTGCCTTCTGCTCTGATTCTGGTTCTTCCTGAGGATCAGAAGAGAGACGCTTGCACTGGACAACTGGATGGGTGTGAACATGGCGTGTGACGGATTCCTGGGCGGTGGCAGGATTTGGGCCCGTCAATCCCCTCGCGAAGCACATGTGACACGTGAAGTCATCTTCGAATCAACGCATCGAGTAAGCCACCTAGCACAGGTTAAGTAGGAGAAGGGCACTGTACTCACCCGGTTTGAAACCGCAGTACCATTCGCGTTGGGGAAACGGCTTGCGACAATGTGAGCACACGATGAAAGACTTAGTCTCACAACCATCGCAAAGATAGCCTGAAATCCAGGTGTAAATAAGCGGGTGGTAGACAAGGTACAATTCATACCGTCACAATCGAGACAGTACCAGCAGTGACCCATGTAGACACACTGCTGACAAACCACGCACTTTACCGCTGCGGACGGCTCCTCGGTCAACATGTGTTGCCCTGATGAGTGCGCATGGACATCGTCTTCCTTAACACACTCCTCGGTCGAAGGGGGGTCCGGAAGTTCACCGGGGGAACGGATCCGCTCCAACGCCGCCGTTGCTTTCCCATACAGGACCGGCCAGACCAACCGGCCTATAACCGTCCGGGTCTTGAGCAGATCGTGCGTGGTGTGATGGATGGCCCCACTGGGAGTAGTGAAGGAACCCTTCTCTGACGAGGTCCCAAGGCACTCCGGATCATCGCAAAAGCTGACCTGCACCGAGAAGTCGTCTGGTTTTGGTACACAAGTAAGGCAGATGCAGCGCGCGCCCTCAATAAAATGTCGAAGTTCGCTAGATGTCGGTGTGTCGCACACAGTGTACCTGTGCAGACACTCATGAACACGTTGACTGGCCGAGAAAAAGGAGTCAACCGGAGTGCGACATACCAATGATACGGTAGAGTGAGGTAGCGGTGTTCGCATATGTTCTCGTAGAGTCTCACCTCCTGCGATGTGCATAAGCTTCTAATCCGGTTGAGCTTGGCGTTGTACTCCTCCGTAGTAATATCCTGAACAAGTCGCTTTCTGCGGACAGCCTCCTCCACGTAGCGTCTCCGAACGTCCCTTCTTTCAGCGAAGTACGACCAGGACCAGAGCCGCCGTCGGACATCGTGCAGGGCTGCCGCGATCGCATAATTCCTAGAGAGCGATACCTGTTCTGAGTCAAAAGAGAAGGAGAAGGACGCAGGGTCATATGTGCTGCTGAGATCCTCTTCAGGGTGAAGGACCAATCGCTTTCTGCATCGTCCCCGGATATTCGCGTGCCGGAGATAGTGAACTCGTCAAGAAGGACCCCGTTGTAATGGACGTCCAAGTCATCGGGATAGTGTATCGTCCATTCGATTTGGATTGTACCGTCATCTGACTGTCGGCAAGTACCCGAGGCATTGTATAGATCCCCGTCGAACTCAACGCCGTACGCACAGATGAAGTTATCGCCGTCTTTCTGCGAGTGATGAAATCGGAGTGAAATCACTGGTCGCGTCGGATATCTGGAGTCGGTGTACGCGAAGCCATTCCACTCGCCAAGGCTAGGTTGTCCAGTGAGACGTGAGACCGATGATTGGACGGAAACACTCACATCGTCTTCACAGGATCCGGGGCCACGCGATCGTCTTCTACCTCGTCATGCACTTCATCAAACATGGTTGTATCAACCACGGGCAGGATCTCTTGTTCTTGTACGCCCTCCGAATCAAGGGGTTCCTCGCCATCCTCGTGCTCATGAGAAATGTAGAAACATCCGTCTCTCAGATTCGCGAGAGACCAGAGGTCATTGTGAGGACGGATATATAGGAACTGTCGAAGTCAATGCTTGCACCACACGCGCACCAGTCTCGGGTAACAACTCACCAGGCCGGATGCAAAGTGCTTGAGCTGTTCGACTTCATCGAGTCTTTTTTGTGCAAACAAGCCTGTGACTCAACATCAGCTCAAAGGACATCATAACATTGGATAATACGGTCTTACCAGACACCTCGTTATACCGGCGATCGAGTGCACGAAGCACGTGCCACAGCGTTGTGTGCATGTTCATGAGCTCGGTGTGCACAATGACAATGCGCGTCGCCATCCTGACTTTTCGCAGGTCGTGCTCAAGGATCAGGCACACAAGCGGAAAGAAGCACTGGGGTTCCGTAGTGTGTTTGTGAGCGAGAGCCGGACGGAGACATTGATCCATATACCTTCTCTATCCGGCCCGATCCAGCCACCAGCAACACCGTCTCCGCCGAATCGATATTATACTTGATTTTCTCCAAGTTGCCTCGAATGCGGTCCTCCTCAGATTTGATGTATTCCTGAAATCGGTCTTGTAGTGTCGCGTCCTCGCATTCAGAGAATCCAACAGTCGCAGCGATTGCCTCGGGCCAATGCATCGTGAAGTGATAGTCAAAGTCTCCGCGGTTCAGAGGTAGAACGGAAGGCAATGCTTCTCGCATCTTGGAGGTCGCGGCCCTTATGCGGTTGATGTACCACGTCGAGGCGATCTGCCATCCTGAGAAGAGAACGACATCAGGAGGGAATTGGCACACCGTATAGTCTGATGCCAAGCCAACCTATTGCCCAATACGCGAGCCAGTGCGGGATGCTATTAGGAAGGAAGGTGAGTATCGTAGTGGCTTTCTGTGCGGCAGAGATGTACCTCCAACCAAGTGAAGACGGGCGCATGTCCATCAGCTTGTTGACCTCGGTGATGCTCACGTAACCGGATCCATCGTCGTCGAAGGCTTCCATGAGGGGACGCAAGTAAGAGTGTCCCAAGTACTCCAGTGCCCACTCGTCATTGGCGATCGCGTCCGGGTTTGCCGCATGCGCCATGTTGTCGAACAAGTCGCGATAATGGTCTTGGAGAGTCAGCACGAACAACCGAGCCTTCACATTTCCGCGCCAGCCCTGCCGATACCTGTCAAAGAGGACACTAGCCAGCTTCAAGCAACGACACGTACCATGTCCTGCCAGATCTTCCGTAGCTCCTGTGTACGTCGTCAGTGACAATTTCTAAAAACGACACGACACCCTACTCACCAAGTCTTTGATCTTCAAATGCGGCCCTTGCTTGATCGCATCCGTCACAGCACCTATGACTCTGTCGTTCTCCGCCCGGATATACCTCTCCAATGCGATCTGCAACACTTCGACCTGCAACTCGAATTTGCCCGTGAATGCCTCAAAGTTCTTTGCAACCGCGTCCTCGACGTCCTGCCGCAACTCGATCTTGAGCTCATCGACCGCAAGTGCGATCTTGTTGCGTGTGGTCTTCTCTCGGACGACGTCGCGCGGCGCCTCGCCGCCTCCTAGATGCTGCGGGCGTATGGTGTCTTCGAGGGCAATGAGCGACTTGAGCGCCTCGTCGTCTTGCCGGACTTTTGCACGTCCTCCTTTCGACTCGATCTCGAGGGCGATCCTGCGCTCATCGGTAGATATGAACTTGTTGAAGAGTCCGAGTACGATGTCGAGCCTACTCGATTGCCGTGAGAGTTGGAAGAACACTGGGAACCCGAGAAACATATGTACTTGGCTTGTATTTCGTAAGTCTGCCTCTTCACGTCCGTGAGCGAGTTCGCAGTGTGCATGGCGAGGGCGAACTGGAAGTCCGTCTTGCGATCGGAGAACACCTGCACGAAGCCTGAAAGCTTTTCGGCCCAGACCGGGCCTTTGAAGACTTTCACGAGCAGCTTCTTCTTGACGAACGTATCGCAGAGGTTGGCGCAGTCCTTGATGTTCTTCGCTGTCTTCTCCGCAAGCTCTTCAAGGCGATCTTTCAGCGGACGTCCGTCAAGTCCGATATGAGTCCGGTTTTCTATCCCCTTCATCCTGGACGTGCATGTTAGCCAAGGCAATGTCAGAGGGATAAAGGAGCGAATACAAACTGAACCATGACCATCATCATATCCTTCATCTCGACGTACAGGGTCATGACGCGCCTGTCATTCTCCTGGCGCGTGCTCTCCAGTGCGTAGACTGCCTTGAAAGCAAGGACAGCAACTGACGAAGAGCGCAATCAGACACCAGCAGGCGTTTACGAGGTGATATGCATCCTACCCGTCACCACCGGGTGTATCCTGGCAACCTCGTCGAGCGCCTTCATCAGCCATGACAGGTCATCCGCAAAACGCTGGATCCCGCGCTCGATCTTCTGTGCCATGTCGCCCTGTACGGCGGCGTTCGCGATTGCAGTAACGTTGTTCATGACGGTCATCGCCCGATCCGCCTGGCTCGCCAAGCTAGTGACCCTGTCGCCTGTGATCGTGACTTCAAATCAGCCATCGTTCTATATGCCCATAGCGGAAGGATGGCGACTATACCTACCCATGGTGTCCAGAGCTTTGTCGATCTTGCGCATAGATGGGCCCGAGTCCAACTGCCCTTGCATCGGTGTCAGCTCTGCCAGTGCACCGTCCATCGAGTGAAGGTGCATCGGAGGCCCCAGGGCTGGCGCGGGTGCGGACTCCGGAACCGGCATCGACATCGACGCCGTAGCTTCTGGTCCTGGGAGAGGAAAAGGGTCCGGGCGAGTCACAGAGGCGGTGGGGTCGGATGCCTGGGACTCGGGTGTGGCACTGGCAGTTCGCGCAGACTCGTCTCCGTCTTGATCTACAGATGAATCCGGATCCTTTCCTTGTCTCGAGTGCGATCTGTGGAAGCGTTTAGCGAAGCTCCGGAGGGACATGGGGGTATGAGACAGACGTCGCCCGCTGGCCCCGCAGTCGTGTTCTCGTTCAGCGTCCAAGATTGGCAAGCCCGAACGGCATCTGCTCTGCAAAAGAGAAGGGCGTCCCGGGGATCAGGGGCGCACGGCAAACGCAAATCTGTGGATGTGATTCAAACAAGCGACGTTGGCTGTGCTGGCTCGTGCCATAAGGATTTGAAATAGCATATACGAGCGAGCAGCGTGTCGGTCGTCCAGCTCGAGTGCGGAGGCAGGGTTCCAATGTGTCTCATGCGAGTGTGCAGCTGGTGAACGAAGCGCGGTCTCCCGGCGAGTAAAAGCCATAGTTTACGCGTAACCTCCAGTATATCTCGAACCTCAAGTGAAAAAGCCACACGATAGTGGGAGAGCTCCGAATCGTCCGTCCTCGTGAGACTAGGGAAGAAGAATCTTCCCCTGCAAGCACGCAGAGTTCAAGGGAGGTCAAGACTAGGTATCAGTGGTTGCGCGTGCCAGTGCATGCTAGTGGATTGTCAGGGGGTGTAGAGCAGCAGCCTGGAGCCTAAGGACCTGCCAGTGCAGTGTGCAAAGGAGATCAGTACAACGCTCGACATCACAGAGCCGACTAGTTCCATTGGATTTCTCTGAGCTTAGATGATGTTGCTATAATTTCTCAGCTCAACAAACGTTAGGGGTGGTATATAGCTTGACAGGGATTGCGCCATGAGTCCATGCCATCGTACGTCGTCGGAAGGTGGCGGAGGATGAAGACACGTCTGGCTCCGCTCAACCCTTCTGTGAGCACTCATGGTTTTGGTTGACTCGGAGATTGAATATGGAGCCACAACTTAGCGCCTAACTAGCTTGCCTATCGCGTTTGACCATCTTAGCGAATGCTTTGAGCCCCCGCCAACGACTGTGCAGTACATTGTCCTCATTTTCACAAACCCTGAGAAACATACTGCCAAGCACACCTCTAAAGCTTATGGCGGAATTGCGCAAGCGCAGACAATGACGTCAGCACGAGGAGAGCCCACAGCGGTACGTCACCTTGAAGAGCTCCAGACATTTCCAGCCCTGACCCTGAGCTTCCCCCCCAAGCGTATCCCTCGGTGGATTAATGTTTTTTCTTGAACTGTCTACTCATTGCAGTATGGCCGGAAAAACTACCCACGCAACAAGTCGTTACGGCCGACATTCGTCATATCCGCAGAGAACCCCTCTCTTCATGGCTTCTAATCACGCACAATGGCCGCTTGTACGTTCTGACGAGAAAAAAAACGTCGAACCTTCTGGAGCCTTGCTCCCAGCGTGAGCGATTATCAAGAAGCTCGAAGTTCGTTCTGACAGGTTGGCGGGCGTTCAAATGCTCAACCGATGCACGGTGCGAGCCTCATACGACCCCTCGAACAAGCTGTGCCAGATTTACCCCACCTTCATGCATAGTCACATAAGGCGAGAACCTCGTTCCATCTGACGTCAAATCCCAAGAAGGCAGGTCGTACCTCGCGGGATTCGTGTGTTGCTCATTTTGGCAGGGCATCTACAGTACCTGCACCACCTGTCCAGGGCGGAACTCGACGTCGACCGTGCATGCCTTGGAGTGGTACTAGGGTTGCCGTTACCGATCCGGTTCGTCGTCACTGATGAACACACGCTCTCGGTGGCATAAAACCCTCCTTTTGCTTCCCCGCACTTTCTCCAGTCTGCCTAACGCCCCTCACGATTCTTCACGATGAAACTCTTCGCTGCGTCCGCTCTGCTGCTCGCCTCTGCCCCCGTCGCCCTAGGGCAGGATTTCACGTTGCTCAACGAACTCTTCCAAGCTCTGAACAGCTCGGGCCACACCCAGCTCGTGAGCGCCGCCCAAAAGTTGAACGGCACTGGCTCTGGCCAGTCCATCCTTGCTCAGCTCTCGGACCGCTCGCCCTCCGTCCTGTTCGCGCCCACCGACAGCGCATGTACGTCTCCTCGCTTCCTGTCTTGATCCTGACTGGAGATTGAGGCTTTTTCTCGTAGTTAACCTAACAAGCAGCGTATCGTCTGATGTCGACGTTCTTGCGGACGTCATCGCGTACCACATCGTTTCTGGCAACTTCACCGGCGTCTCGACAACTTACCCCAACACCACCGTCGGATTCACCCTCCTGAGTGACCCCAAGGTAGTCCAGCTCGAGGCGTCAGGTCTACACCAGGTTGTTGCTTGGGCGACACGCTCGGATGGGAAGATCCATGTCTTAAACCAAGTGTCAGTATCTGTTTGTGCCCTCAACATAGCGCGCTAAACTCATCGCATACTTTACGCGCAGCAACGATACCACCGTCACGAACACGACCACCTTCGGCAACATCACGATCAACAGCATCGACCACGTGTTGAACTTCCCCCAGCCCCTCTCCACGACCGTCGTCACCGACAACACCTCCCTGACGATCATCTCGACCGTGCTCCACAACGTCAGCTTCCCCTTCTTCAACGCGAGCACGAACCAAACGGCGTCGACGCCGCTGTTCAACATCCTCGAGAGCGGCCTGCACGGCTTCACGTTCTTCGCCCCGAACAACACCGCCATCACGCAGGCCCTCTCCTCGCTGACGAGCCTCGAGTCGGACCAGACTGCGGTCGAGGCTCTCTTCCAGAACCACGTGCGTCTATTCCCGTTCCTCCTGTCACCTCTCCGCGCATGGAAGCTGACCACGAGCGCGTTCTTACGTCTTACTTACTGTTGCACAGATCATCAACGGGACGACCGTGTACTCGCCGCTGCTCGCGGGCTCGAACGCGAACCGCACGTCCGCCGCGGGTGAGCCGCTCAGCTTCGTCCTGAACGCGACCGGGCACTACGTCACGTCGGGCAACGTCACCGCGCAGATCATTCAGCCGGACGTCCTCCTCCCCAACGGCGTCATCCACGTCATCGACCGCGTGCTGGTCAACACCGAGTCCAACGCGGCCGCCGCGAGCTCTGCGTGAGTCCTTCTTCTCTGTTCGCCCTGTCCTATTTTCGCCTCTCCTCCGACGGGTCCTGTGGCTATACTTAGAGCCCGGAGCCCTGTTCGGGAGGATAAAGTTCGGATTCGCACAAGTCAGTTCCGCTGACGGTTGTTCTTCTCCCTTGTTCTAGTGCATCGTCGGCGAGCTCCGCGGCCACTCACACGAGCTCTGCGACTGCTCCCGTCGGGTTCTCGGCAACGGCCACGTCCTCGGGCAGTGCGTCTTCAGGCTCGCACACGGGCAACGCTGCGCGCGGGACGCACGCGGGCCAGGACTCGCAGCATCTCCTCAAGGTCGCGCTTGTGTTTGGGGGCGTCGTCGCGGGTCTCGCGATGGCGTGAGGATGCTGAGTGAGATGTGATACGAGACAGTTCTGCTTCGCACGATACCTTGAAGACTCACGGTACGACGGACTTGGCGTTTCCCTCGCGTGTATGTACGCTCGTATGATACTGTTGATGCTAATCTACATCGCTTTGTGATCGTCTGTTTTTGTTACTGTCGGGTTTAGGGCTTCGACGGCGACTCGCGCGGGCATTTGACTCAAGGCATACAGTTGCGGTATGAGGAGATCGAGGAAGGCTTGATGGACACAATTCTGAGCTTAGAACATACACTAAGGAGACAACTACGGGTCCGTCAGTGCCTTGTCTGTCAGCGCAGACTCGACGATGCTCTCTATGCTACCCTCTTGTCTTCTTCCGTCGGGTCAGGTATTTCGATCTTCCTCGATGGAGCTCCGTGAGTGCTGGGAACAATCATCACGATGCCCTGTCGCATCTCAGCTTTTCGCGAACACGGTTCCGCATATGCGACTGCGCTTCCATATTCCCTGAGGTCTGTCTTACCCCCTGTCCCCTTCAACTAATGCCCATCGCTTAGTACCACAGCTGACTCGGGAGCGCAAAATTCTCCCTCGTCAGGCTGCTTTGTCTGTGCTTCGGTCATGTACCCTTAGCATGGATCCTGTCCCACAAAAAATCGATGCCGAAAACCGCCTATGCGTGACGGAGAATGAAGGATGAAATCGAAGGCGAAGCTCCTACCTTCCGAATATCTAAGGCTGGCTTGAAGCGCGTTTGAAACTCTTCCACGTGAGCGCGAGCGCGTTGTTTGCTATTGTTTAGTCCGCTGAGGGACTGTGCCGGGCCCGGGCGTCGTCGGACTCCAGCTATGCTGCTCCCTGTGAGAGTCACTAGTCGCTCAATCGTCTAATAGGTAGAGGCACTCTCTGATGACCGGCCAGCATGGCAAAGGCGGTGGCGTGGGGAAGTCTGAGCTCACTTGGGAAGATGTGTCCCAGGACACACCACCTTCGCTCCGAGCAGACATTGTGAACAAGGCTGACGACGCGCTGGCGAGGCAGTCCATTCAGCTTGAAGGACCACTCTATCTCAGTGTGAGTGTAACGTCATGGTGTTATTGACCATTCTTTTCTGACCGTCTACATATAGTTGAACCGCTTCTGGCCGGTATCGCTTTGGGGTGTCGCCTTCTTGATCCACAGGCGCTTTCGACAACTCTCACCGCGACGGCTGCCCACCATCACACCTCTGAAGCCCCCTGAAATCTACGGCATATTTGCGCTGGCGCATCTAGCAAATGTAGAGGCCTTTCACCTACGCGAGAAAGTAATTCGTGACGACAATCTGCGCACCATACTGGCTTTCTCATATGCAATGCGAGACGTGTGGAACGGAGCGCTGCCCACCGACGATAGGCTTAAAAAGTACGACTTGTCTCTTCGTGCGTCACCTCTCCTAGCTACACTCCATGAGGTTAGCGTCAGTGGCTAACTCGTCTTCGATCATCACAGTGACTATCCCAATCGACGAGCATCTTCTGAGTAGATACGCTCATTACACCTTGTGGAGGTGGCGAAACACCTGGTCGGATAGCCGGACGCGAGGTTTCGTGGGACAATATGTGGCAAATCAGGTTCTGCATTGTGAACTTAGCGCTCATGACACCGCCATTCTGCTCACAGTCGTTGCAGAGCGTACGAGGATGCGCGATTTCCATCAGGTGCGCCATCAAATCCTCGGATCTCCTCTCACCGTTCTATGATCTCATTCCGCGTTTGTTTTTCTCGTGTTAGCCCGCCTGTGTTCGCAAAGCTGTGCTTACAGGACATACACTCTTGGACGCCTTTTCATACACACTAGGCCCGATGCTCTGGCGTGTGGCCACAGGCCGGCACCAGACTCTGAATACGTGGTTTCTGAACGGCATCCAGCGTTCATTTGCGTACTGGCTGGCGTACGCGCTTTCTGCTGGGCTGTATCGCCATTATGCGTCGATTTTGAGCCTTGAGGACCCGGAGAAGGCTGCGATGGTGATTTTGAAGTCAGTCGAGGAGCGTTCTGGCAAATCCTCGGGGACGTCTGATGAAAGGGGTGCGGTCGCCTGACATATAACTCCGGGTGAGCGTTGTGGCCTGAAGGAAACAAGTCGACTGACTCTTGAATTGACGTTTTTGCCTCTAGTCAGACCGTCTTAAGCGAGTCTTATTCTTTGGTCGAAGTGCTCTGCCTGCTTTGCGTATGTTCTCGGTTTGTCTATCTCTATCACCCCACTCCGTCACTTTCCATGTATCCGTACGTGTCGTCTTGTAAACACCCTACTCTGCACATCTTCCCGATGGGGCGTCGGAAAAGTGCCCGAAAACTGCTCACGGAGGACGAATCAACGAACGAGTCAACGTATGCTTCCCGCATCACCACCATAGGTGCGTCTTCACTAACTCGAGTTGGTGTTGTCATGTATTTGCCCTCGCTTCGTGGCTTCTTAACTGACGCGTGGCCATACAAAGTCCGACATGCGTGCCGGTGGCGGACGTCAGTCGCGGCTCCTTGTAACTCTGCAGCGGTCATGGCGAGTACCTCAAACTGTCTTTCAGCAAGCCCTCTGGTCCCTCCCTTTGGGTCGCGCGGGCGACCTTGCCTTCCGGTGTTATAGCTCTTTCGCTGGGCTGTGACCTGGACCAAGAATGGCCGATCTAGTACGTTACTGGGTCGAGCTCGCCCGCAGGCACCTGGACTCCCTACGCCCTCCGGACGCGCTCGGCTTCAGCGTGAGTGGAAATCTTCCATTGCGGCGAAGATTTTGGGCCGACTCTTTCGTAGTGGAAGAGTGTGTGGCCAGTCCCATTCTATGCCCTCGCGTGTCTCGCGCACAAACGAGTCCGGGTTCTCAAGCCGCGGCGCCTCCCCAGTCTGACCACCATCAGAGTGCCGGAGATCTATGTCGCGCTCGCATGTGGGCATGTCGCGCATCTCGAAGCCAATCGCTTAGCCAGGAATATGGAGGCGGCTGACTGGCTCAAGTACATATGTCACGGCGCCAAGTGGGCTGGGCCGGAATACCGCGAGCATCCCGAGCGGTTCGTTCCGACCTCCAAAGAGCCAGTTGATCTCACTCTACGTGCGTATGGATCCGCGGTCTGGGAACGTTCCTACGAGTATTAGCGATTGATCTCTTTGTACTGCAGACCTGGTCGCTACCGGCAGAGCAACCCTCATAGACTTCGAGATTTGGAAGTACGCACAACGCTGCAGTTGGACGGACGAACGAGCGCGCCTCGCAGCGTCGACGTTCCTTATGGAGCATGGCTGGTGCGCCTCCGGGCTGAGGCAACACCTCAGCACTCACGACACCGGACTCGTCACGCTGTTCTTGGCGGAGCAGCTCAAGGGAGATAGCGTCCTCCGTGTACGTCTCCTTGTTCTACCGCGTAGACTCAGCCGCTGAATACGATCGTAGCCTGCGTTCCTGCACGACAAGCGTCTGATGGCAGAAGTCGGTATCGTCACTTTCTTCGCGATGCTTTCCCGCTCAAGTTGGGGCTCGAGCTCCCTCGGGGTGCAGCGCACAAACGCGATCATGCAGCGCTACTTCTTCTATCTGCTCGCGTTCAGATGGTTTGCGGGAAAGTACTGTCACTATGCATCGATCTTAGGGCTGCAGGATCCCATGCGGGCTGGTGTAGCAGTGATCCTTGCGGAGGGCGATATGTGTTCGGGAAAGTGGAAGAAAAGCCGTGTGGACGTGGATACGACATTTGAAGGGTTCGATGTGACCATGTAGATCTCCTGCTCCTGCGCTTTGGAGCTGCCCGGGCTGTTGTTCTGGCACCGCATGATACTACTCGCTTTGTTAGGCTTTGAGTACGTTCACTGTACATCCGACACTATTTCTCGCTATCGCACTGCTACACCTCCGCTTTCGATACCTCCACTCACAGCTGTCTTAGGAACTCACATATTACACTACTCCTTCATCTCGATGTGCGCAGGGAAGTCCGCTAGACGCAAGACATGAGTTGGTTTTAATCTTGAATTAGGCTAAGTTAAGGAAACATGCGTTAAGCCTGCAATGATTTGGTGTGGACTACGTAATCGACATATGATATACCACATACTACGCTGACTGCGATGAAGCAGTGACCCCCCTCAGGCGTTCTCCTTGATAACCTGATTCTTGAATACGATCTCCGGCGCCCCTGGAAGGGACTCCAGCAGCCGCAGCCCGGCCTCCGTGACCTTGGCACAGCGGTAGATCTGCAGCATCTCGAGCGGACAAGGCGTGTTCTCCTGCTTGTCAACGTGGCTCATGAACGCCGACGAGCCCCAGGCAGAGCGGGCCTGGACGTCGTGCACCCCATACGCGGCGAAGGCACGAGTCTCGATCACGTTCCGCACACAGTCGATGCGTACGTCGTCGCAGTCGATGAGAGCGAGAATGGCCAGGCGTAGACAGAGCCAGTCGGTGTGCGCTGAAGAGGGCCGTCGGTGGTCGTGCAAGCACGGGTCGGTAGGGCAGGCGAGCGCACAGACGACCGTGCCCGCCCCGGGACAGCTGTCGAAGCCCAGGTAGTCGAGCGAGGGCAGGTCGTACGCGAGATGCTCGCACAGGCCCTCGGCGTTGATTTTGGTGTGGGTGAGGTACAGACGTCTGAGGTTGTCCCAATTCCGCTCTTGGAAGAGCGGGTGCTCAGAGGGGGTCGGGAACGCGGCGTACGAGGCAAAATCTCGGGTACGGTGTTTGTAGGCTACGTGCAGCTCCTCGAGATTGGGGTATGAGATGTGCGCGAATTGGGACGGCGGTTGCGAAGGATCGAGGATGTCGAACTCCACGGTGAGACTGCGCAGCTCTGGAAACTCTATAGGGACCTCAGGGGCCTCGTCAGGAGCAAAGGCATGCACGTCCCCAAAGAGATGCACCCAGCGTTGCAGGTCTTGATCCGCAGGGAAGGAGATACCCAGTGTTTGAAGGCTTGGCATGTCGATGAACTGGAAGAGTCGCCAGAAGTCCGTAATCGGCGCGAGGTCCCAGAGAAGTTCATGAATGGGGAGTTTGAGTTGTCGGACGGCGGAGTTGGGGAGCGCCTGATTGCTTGATGAGCCACTCCCCACCACAGGGTGGACGTCGATAATTGTAGCGGTGGTGAATAGCGTCAAGTACTCAAGATGAGGACTCGCAGATATCATGTTCAGCAGCTGAGACATGGGAAGCTCAACCTCCTGGAGTTTGAGTGTGCGCAGTTCAGGCATAGGTCCCGAACGCAGCACCACAGGATCTATTCGACAGAGGGAGAGGCTGCGTAAAGCAGGGAAGGAGATAGTGTGGAGAGGCCGTTCACCCCTTGTGAAGGGAACAATATTGGCGGGGGATATATACTCCTGAGACGCGAGCTCCAATTCTTGCAACACGGCAAAGCGAGCTTGTGACATCGTGGTAAAGGCACCGATGTTGACGATAGAGGCCTTCGAATAGTCGGTCCAATGCAACTCCTTGCAGCGGTGGGCTCGTTCTATGAGAAGTATCGCGATGGCGAGACTGTGGACCTGGCTGCGCTCGAACTTCGCCCATACAGTCAGAGGACTATTCCCAGACCGGAACAGATACTGATCCAGCGCGGTCTGGGAAAGGTTCGTGATACGTGTCCAGAGACTTGAGGTTGACAGTGCGACTCCACGCCACCACAAACAGACGTGTGAAAGAACCACCGGCGCGAGAGGGTAGGGAGAGGGAAGGACGTGTTTGTCGTGAACAACCTCGGCGAAGACCATTGCAAGCTCTTCGTCTGATAGTGAGAATATTGGTGAATGCTGCAGCCCTTTTCGGTGAGTTACCAGCGATATATGGAGAACGTGGTCGGACTTACGGGCTGCATCCTTCTGGGACCCGGGCTGTGGTTAGAACCGTTAATGTCCCCGGAGATGGCTCGAGTCCTTTGCGAGAAGAATATGTTCATGTCGTTGCGTTGTCTGATTTCAGTTGGAGGGCTTTGAGATAGAGAGTGTTCGTGGAGAGAAAGATGGTACCGTGAGTGGTTGGGGGAAGGTGGATGGTGATAATCGGAGTTCCAACGCTTTGTTTCAAGCGCCGTGCGTGCTCACAAAAAATGCGTTCTGACCTTTTAGTATGCAGTCTAGATCTTGTGATAGCGATGATGTCTGCGCTTTGTCCTTAGGAAAGTTTCGAGCCATCCTAGACTTACTAGCGCCTGGTCCTATTGGTATCCATATGCATCGAGACGCGTATCTAGTGCAAATCCCTATGCTTATCTGGTCCTGTGAGATCAAGTCAGTGTCAATTTCTAGCATCATGTTCCTATGGACCCACTCTTTTGTTAACACAGCTTGTTCTGATACTCGGTGCGGAACTTGAAGCTTGAAGGCGAATGTGATTCTCCTTGATCCTCAGGCCAGAGTACATATGTTCAAGTCAATGTTACAGCACGTTCAGTATGCCAAGTGCTAGGCCCGTTAGCAAGGTGCAGTGTCCAGTCGGCCGCCGACGTTGGCTCGAAGTCGCTATGATGCTTTGGGCTTCTGGACGCTGATCTATAGCTTTGATGCGGAGTTCTAATATACAACACAGAATGCGCTCGAGTTTCCAACATTCCTCCGGAGCTCGAACCCAACATTGAAGTCCCTTATGACCTTCTACATACTCTTCAGTCAGGCTCGAAGTACTTATTCTCCAAGACACCCACTCCCACCAACCAAGGCATGCGAGGCTCTAAGACTGCAGGATACCGCAGAGAAGCTAGTGCGACTGCATACTGCGTCCGTGCTACCATTAACTCTCGGCCTCTTGGGGCCGCGCTTCGCGATTTCTTCGTCCTATACATACCAGTCAATTGAGGCATAATGTGTCCTCTGGGCACACGATTTCATTCGTGTCACATTGCAACCGCTCTATGATGCTGGTTCTGATGATTCCGTACGCTCCAGCGCTCACAAGCGAAGCCGAGGAAATGCTACTGTCAGATACACATCAATATCAATTACATCGCAATATTCTCCATTCATCCGGAAGTATTCTGGACCCTACAGAGACAGAGATAATCAGACGCAGATACCGAGCAGTATCTATCTCAACACGTACTGAACGAACCACCTCTGGTCGGTGGGAACGCAGAGACCACCGTGAGCGTTGTTCGCGGCATCGCAGTCAGAGGACAGCCAAGTGACGAGCGAGGACTGTCGAAGGATCGGACGTGAGATGTGCAGGGCCATGCAAGCATGCAACGAGGCGAACATACCCAATCATCACGGCAGTACTCGAGGTCGGAAGAGTCTTGGTTCAGAAAGAAGGTCAGACACGACTTGTATTGCATCGTGATCTTGTCCGTCGCGGTCTAGTTCATTAATAGATGACAGTCAGTTGTCATAGCGTAGGACTGCTGAAACGACAGCCTACCCCAGACGCCGTGATGTTGAACAGCGGACCGATGTTTTGATTGTCGTAAAGGAGGGCATCCGCGATGACATTGCAGTCGGCCTGGTTCGGGCCGCCACTACTGCCCGGGAAGCAGGAAGTATCACCTGGAGATCATCCCCGCCGCAGTATATCAGATTCCATCCTGCGCTACACGGAGACGTTAAGAAAATACTCACACGCGGCGCCGCAGACATCGCTGCTGTTCTGGCGCCTGGAGAGTTCGAGGCCGTTCGCAGTAACGCGAGTGAGATCGTTGCAATGCGATGCCGAGAACTTGACGTTGTTGTCTGCGCCGATGAAGCCCTCGTGCGAGACGATCTCGCTCGCACATTGGACGGGGCCGACGAAGGCGACGAGCGCAGCAGAGACCCCGGCTGTGGTGGCCGCAAAGGTGGCAAGGAGAAGAGGAGAGCTGGAAAGCTTCATGATGGTGCAGCTGAGATCGGGTAGCGGAAAGGGCGTCGGAAATGAACGACGGAAATGAAGGAATTGCAGGTTGACTCGCCGGAAACACGAGGAGCTCAATCGAGACAGATCAAGGCCTTTTATACCGGCAAGCGAGCGCGCTGGGCGCCCTTCGACGGTGAGAAGTGGAGTACTTGGCGGGACGGACCATGCTAGACGCACCTAGCCATCTGTCACGAAGTAATGACCATCGTAGGGGTGGACGCAGGGGACCGATGTGCCGCGAAGCCTAAATTTACTTTGAATGTGAGTAGAGGCTGCCCAGGTCATTGCTTCACAGGGCGGGGTTGAAGGCCAAGCGCAGATGACTACAGTGCACAGCGGTTCCGGACGGTAAGGAACTTGAGAACTGGTATCCGAGGCGGGAAGAAGACGGAAAAGAAGTCACTCAGTATGGCTGCCTTTGCCAAATATTACAAGATGTGGTCTGTGAGGTAGGCCACGTGATACAACACGCGAAAAGCGAACGGGAAACACAAACCGTGCATGGAGGCGAACAACTAGGCATGCCCTTGTGCAAGGTTCTGTCGTTGGGGATCACAGTCACATGGAGCTGGCTTGCAACCATGATCGACAGACCACCTTCCACAACGCGCGACCACGGTCCCAAGTGACCGAAGGACTCGATCATTTTGAGCAGATGGCGACGCCGTCTATGCCTGTAGAAGTAGTCAGGTGTCAGTACTTCAGTTATGACGCGTTGGTACTATGACTAGTGTCACATGCCGCACACAATTTCGGAAGGCTTGGTTGAGATATCCTCCCATTAGCGTGCTACCACACGAAGTCGATAGGCCTACCGCAAAGAAGTGCATGTCACTGCCAAATGCGATACTGGACAACAAGGAGTGGCGCTTCCAAAGCGATTCCAGAGCGCTTCAACGCAGAAGGTCGCTGGCTTTCGGCATGGGGCGTCTATATGAACTAAGTTAAGCATCAGCAAAAGTGTAAAAATCTTTTGCCGTATTGCCCGTTCAGGCAATACTCAGCGAGAGCGCGCAATATACGTCAGATCATGCGCTGTCATGGGTGGTCTTGCAATGTCGTAAATATATTGCAAGACCTTGCAATATCCCACAAGACCAGGCAATATCGGCAATACCGGGCAATATTTCGCATTATCACAGGTATTGCGAGGTATTGCCGGTATTGCGCGCTCTCGGAATACATTTCCGGTATTGCAAGACCGTGCCACAACTGGCGCTTCAGGCAATGTCCGCAATCCTGTAGGATATTTTTACACTTTTGCTGATGAAGCATCCCGAGCAGACGAGCCCCGGAGGAAAGCACTCAAAGCGCCCGTATGGCATATGACGAACCTGATCCGCTGCGCTCTCCACGGACTGAAGGATAAATTGCTTGGAGGGCCGATGGAAAAGGTTGTTCTGCGATGAGGAAGAATCATGCCTTCATCTTCTGCTCGCTTCTGTAGTCTCTGTGGTCGCTTCGCTCAACATATCCGGACGCCGGTGTTCGGCACACTGGATGATCTTAGACTCGAGAGTAACACAGAATCCATCAGCAAAAGTGTAAAAATGTTGTCCAGGATTGGAGGTGGCGCCTTAAGCGCCGATTAGGGCGCGAGACGGTGCGAGCACCCGATATGGTAGCCAAGGGGGCCTGTCCGTGCAATACTCACAATACCGGGCAAGACTTGCGGCAAGCTTGCACGGCGGCGCAATATACCCTCGAGTTTCCATGACCTCACGTGTTTGCGCAACAATGTATAATGCTCATCAGTAGAATAATGAAACTCGACCAGTTTGGTTACAGGGTGCGACGTAGTTCGTCAAATTCACAGACTGAGCGGGCCTTGAGCATACGAGACACACTTGTGCACCTGGTTTGTTTCAGCACAGGTGTTCATGCGTTGGTAGATACTGGACAGTGAGGCGGTGGCCCGGGCCTGGTGAGTGAAGGGACAGTTCTCAAAGCTAACATTGTACTAGCTATGGTAG